GATCTTGGCTCACTGCAACTTCCGCCTCATGGGTTCCAGCAATTCTCCTGCCCCAACCTCCCGAGTAGCTGAGATGACAGGCATGCCACCACACCCAGCTTAACTTGTGTATTTTCAATAGAGTCGAGTTTTCACCATGTTGGCCAGGCTGGTCTCAAACTCCTAATCTCAATTGATCCATGATCCACACACCTTGGCCTTCCAAAGTGCTGAGTGACAAGTGTGAGTCACCCGCCCAGCCTAAAGGTATAATCTTATACTAAATTCACTATCATTTCTACTTAGTGGGACTCAGGCAAGTTGTCCTATATAACTACGATTGCTGTTTCTAAATGCCTAAAGATGGGGTGACTGGGCTGTACAACAGTTTATTTCAAATCAAGAAAGCAGTTCTGATCAAAGGGAAGAACCACCTCATTTCCTTCCGGGGAAGGTGAAGTTACCAATCTTACAAAAGTCAACTTCTCTCTGATTTGGGCTTTACTACTCACACTGTCACTTCAAAGACAATAAAGGTAGGCAAGTGGACTGAAGATTTGTTCCTGCTTGAGACTGAATTGAAGATATTTAATTGGTGTTAGAAGTCTAACTATATAAAAAGCTAAAGACTTTTTTTAAAGCAAGGATTTTCCAGAAAATAAAGGGGATTTATTAGTTAAATGTTATTTTTCCACTTTTATGAATACATATATAGCAAAAACAAAACTATACACTAAGGTTCTTACAGTGTTGTACCCTATAAGGAAGTACAAGGTACAACATATAATATTATGTTGCTTTTTATCAAGTTTTAAATTGTCTTATTTTATGATTTTTCATCATAAGTACTACAATTTTCATATGTAAGTTCTATGAGTAATTTTTGGGTAACAAGAAAAAGTCATAAATATATATACACACACACACATATATATACACACACACATATATACACACACACATACATATACACACACACACATATATATATCAGTACCTTTAAGAAATGCTTTTTTCTAATAGTAAATTATAAAAATAAGTAATAAATAAATTAAAAAGTAATAAAAATTATAGTAATCCCAGCTCATTTAATAAATGCTCTCTCTATAATGTATCCAATAAAAAACACAAGATAAAAATTATGCAGAAATAGAAAAAGGTTTGTGTAACATTCAAAGGAACAAAAAGCAGACTATATATAGCTCAAATTAAACATGCAATTATGTATATGTGTAGACAAGGCTAGGAATTTATAAGTCAAATCAAAATTCCTTACATTAGTTGGGTGAGATAAAGTATAAATGTAGTTTTTAAATATTTGCTTTTTGTTTTACATTGTCTGGTCATTTTTTCTACATTTACCTATTTAAAAAGAAGAAACGGATGGGTTCACTGTCCTAAATTTGGTTTCAAGTTGCTTTTTGTCAATTTCAAGTTTTAAGTGGTGTTATTTCATTTTTCACCATAAGTCATTAGTCTTTAGTCCCTATTACAAAACATGTGCTCACCAAGGGACTTTTGGGGCCTAAGATAATTCGCCAAAAGCAATTAACTTCCTAGGGGCTTTCAAGTGGGGGGATTTCCTTACTTAGGTTTCAGACCATCTCTTAACAAACAGTTATTCTCTCAAACTGGCAGTTTACTCTGGTAATTTGGCACCCCTAAAGCATTCTAGTAGCCTTCAAAGAGGTTCCTTTAAAACATTGTCACTTCTTCTATGTGTTAATTTGAGAGTATTCAGAAGGAAATTACTTGTACAGTGTCTCAAAGACCTTACTCAGAGACAAGGTCTAAATTCCAGATCTTCTTTGCCTCTAATTATTTTATCTTTTCCCCTCTCTAAAGTCAGTGCAAGAAAATTTTTTTTTTCCTAAATTAAAGTCTAATTTGCCACTAAGGGTGGTAACTGTATTTCAGGCACGAACATTAGAGGATTTTTCATTAGCCTAACTGTAGCTGGTAGTGGGGGTGATGCCATTTATCAATTTAATTTTTGCTTGCAAACCTTGCCATCATTTATAAATTTGGGTTTTTCCATCCTGGTTGCTAATGTCTTAATTCACATTTATTATTTTATTGTATTTATAAGACTTCTCAAGTCCTTTGCGATGTAAGTACGGCCCATTAAAAATGAAAATAAATAGCCCAATTTATGTTCATCAGGTTGGCTTAAGAAAAATTATTAAATTACAAATTAAACTACAAAAATGATTAAATAGTCCGTTTTATGTTCGTTGGGTTGGTTTAAGAAAAATGATTAAATTACAAATTAAATAACTTTCTTTATTTTCCCCACAAAACTATTCTGTATGACTACTTGTAAATATACAGCTTTATTTTCCAAAGGCCCTCTCCCTTCCTTTGACCATAAGATAACCATTCTAAAAAATGTAAAGGAGATAAAACTGGCCGTCCAGTGATTGCCTGGCCAATGTCCTAAATAATGCAAGACAAAACCTGTTGGGGCCCAATTAAATAAAAATCCATGGACTCTCAGAGGCTTCGGAATTCAAATGAGCCTCATGGATCCACATCCCTTCGATTAGGCATCTGCAAGCTGGCATTTCTGAGTGAGGGACTTTCCAAAACAGGCTGCTCAAGTTTCTTGGCCAATAACAGGGTCATGCACAATTAAAAAAAAAAAAAAAAAAAGCAAGCACAGCTATTTCTCAAACAAATTTGTAAAATAAGTTTGACTCTTTTTCTGTCTCCTTTAGAAATTTGCCAATATTTTGGGATTTCGAAATTTGTTATTGTTAAGTGTCGAAGTGAAAACACTGAGAAATAGGAAAGAGAAAACTAATACCAGGAAGGTTGAGAGAAGGAAAGAGAAAGAGAATCAAAAGGGGTTAAGGATGAGGATATTTGTTGACTGTAGTTATCATCAGAGTCAGAGGACTAGGGAAAGAGGGGAAAAGCAGAAAACAGCTCCCCACCCATCTACGTCCAGCCCATTAATAGAATTTAAAATTTGCTTCTGTATTCCAAGTAATTAGCATTTTGCATCCATTTTATTTATTGCTACTACTAAGAAAGCACTAACTGTGAAGGCATAAAAGCAAACATTTTCTGGAGACACATGAGGTGACACAAGAGTGTCGAAACTTCTTTAAGGATAAAGGCCTGATGTTAGGCATGTCCCGAGTGCAAAACCAATTTCTGTGTAACTAAATTTAAAAGAGTTCTATTAAAGGGGATAAATGGAAGATATACCGCAAAACGTAAAAAATGATTACTTAGGTGATAGGGTTATGTCTGATTTTTGTATTTGACTCATCTGCATTTATAAATTTTATTTAATAAGCCTTAATTTCCTAGGCCATATATCATATACAAATATTATAAATTACACCTAACTTATAGGTATTATAATATGTATATATACATAAATGTATGTGTATTTATATATGCGTGTGTGTGTGTGTCTGTATTCTTTCAGAAAAGCAAAGTTTTCTTCGGGCTTTAAACACACGCAGCCTCTGGTAAAGGTGCTATTGGTACAAAAGTTCAACAAGCATAGCTCCAAGCTTTGGCAATTTTCTTACACTTTGCTAATACTGCTGTCCATGAACTAAGAGATTTTCAAAGCAGCCAACATTGCATTAGTGCAATGGTTAATAACAAGGGAGAGAAGAGTGTGGTCTGAGATTGTATAAATGGTTTCTCAATCTTGAATCATAAATTTTCTCCAAGGAAGTTTCTAAAGAAGCCCAAATAGTGCACATTATATCTGAAAGGAACAGGAGGATTTTTTTTTTTTTTCTAATCATAAAATGGACCCAGACATCTCAGCCTTTTGGTGTAATCTGGATATCAGTAATCTGGATATCAGATGCAATCAGGGAACAGCCTGAGTTTTGGAGTTAGATCTGAGTTCAATCCCATATCTGCCATTTACTAGCTGTGTGATCTTGGTTGAATTACTGAAGCTCTCTGAACCTCATTTCGCCATCTGTAAAGTGGGGATGTGGTCATCTTCCCTACTACATGGCTCTCCTGAGAATCCACGGAGAGCACATTTGTAAACATTTCTCTTGCTATGCTTGGCACTTTGTTGGGGCAAAAAAAAAAAAAAAAAAAAATTCCATGGACTCTCAGAGGCTCCGGTACTCCAATGAGCCTCCTGGATCCACGTCTCTTCGTTCAGCCATCCGCAAGCTGGCATTTCTGAGCGAGGGACTTTTCAAAACAGGCTACTCAAGTTTCCTGGCCAATAATAGGCGCCAGGTTCTGTGTGGTGGGAATGGGTACCACCCCAGCAGGAGACCAGGCAGAAACTACCATGGGAGTGCAAGCTAAGAAAGGGCAAAAGAAGAAAGAGAAGGGCAGAAAAACAAAACAAAATGAAACCACTCAGGCAGCGACTTACAGTGTTAAGGAGAGAATTCCCGGAAGGGAGACGACAGTTTCTTTCTCTGTATGACAATAAAAAAAGGTAAACAAGCCTCCAGAAGCTCATTCAGCCCCCATATAACTTTTCCGAGAAAGAAACGGTGCCGTTCTTCCGAGCCCTCCGGTTTAACCACTGCTTCGGGGCTGATTTATTTCCTAAGTCTGAGAACTGCCAGAAAATGAGCAATATCTGTTCTGAAGGCTGCAGGCTCTCTCCCCGCCCCCGCGGGGCGGCGCGCGCTCACCCACCAGCGCCGCAGCGGACCTTTGCTTGGCTTGTCAGGGCTTGTCCAGGAGTTCCGCTCCTCTCTCCAACCGGGGTCCTCCTTCAGGGACCCAGTGGTCTCCGAGGAGTGCCGGAACTGCCCCGCCTGCCCCGCGGGGTCAGCACTTTGCATCAAGTCCCTAGAAAAGCGAGTCCTCCAGCGTTCTGAGCACCTGGGCCCGAGAAAAGATCCCAACAGCCCCCGGGAGCCAGTCTCCAACGCCTCCCGCAGCAGCCCGCCGCTCCCAGGTGCCCGCGTGCGCCGCTGCCGCAGCAATCCCGCACGCGTCCCGCGCCCACCCCACTTTGCCTATCTCCGGGACTAAGACCGAGTAAGCCTCCACCCGGGCAGGAGAGGGCTCACCAGAGGTAGGAGGGTCCAGGTGCCCAGCATGGTTGTTGAGCAATCCTCCGAAGTGAAAGAGCCTCCCCAATTCCGCGCTGAGCGGGTCCACCAACCGCGGGAGAAGCGGCAGCTCCGCCTGGGCAGCCAGGGCTGGCCTCAGGGTGTGTTCCGTGCCAGTGCCCGCCCCTGGCGCTCCAGCCAAGTCACTCGTAAACCGCTTCCCTCACTCCCCAGAAGCGTCTTTGAACACCTGTGTGTCACTCTTGCGCGAGATCAGAGACGAGCTCACGAAAAGCCCCCGTGGTCAGGAGGATGGGAAGGAAGCCTCGCTGGGGAACGCCCGGGTTGGGGAGGGCTCCACTGATTCAGCAACTTGGCCTGCGCGCGGATGGGGAGGGGGAGAAGTCAGGGTGAGGAAGGAGTCAGGGTTTGTTGCACAAATGGGCATTCCCCGTCCCGGGGCGTTCCTGCAGTGGCTGGCAAGCTCACTTCAGGTGAGGACCTCGAGAGCCTGCCTGCTGACCTTTCTAAAGACTTCCGCTGCAGTTCAACCTGGGAAGTTGAGGACGTCTTGAAGGAGAAAGCAGCTCAGAGTGCACAGGTCCTGCCTGGGTGCACAACCTTGGCTAATAGCTGGAGTCAGTCAGAGGAAGACTTGCGGGGCATTTGACTGAGCTGTCCATGTTGTGGCTGCAACAGAGGCTCACAGACGTTCCTGCAATGGACAGGTCGCCATATGAAAAAGTACAGATATTGCGCCATAGGGCTCTGAAAAGGGAGGGCCCCTTTTTATTTCTCAAGAGGAAAACAAAGCTAACAACTTAAGGCAGATTGCACAGCCCCAGCTATATTAAACATTCAGAATTACTTCCTGTCCTTCGTTACTCATTATTTCCTGGCCAGTTTTCTTTAAAGAAAAAAAAAAAACAACTTCTAATTCTTTCGTGCTCTGGTGAACACTGTTCAAAGTTACTATTCTTTTGGAACAGTAGATAGCTCTTAGGTAGTTTTGCATGAATTTTACAGAAGGTATGTTTGGATAATACCATCATTACTGAACCTGAATTTGGACACACTGAAGGTTTCAGTATTCCTTTGGCATCATCCACCAAGCTGTGCACCTCACTCTGGCGCCTCTCTCCCTTCCCAGTTAGATTCAACCCATTAGTAACACATTAATAACCCTTTGCTTGGCTCACTGTTCATCCTTCAGGCTTCCTCTTAGTTGACATTTTCTTCTGGAGCCTGTTCGGGCCCTCAAATCTAGGTTAGGTTACCCTCCTGAGTGCTTTCCATCATCCTGTGTTTTGCATCTGTCACTGCACTTACCAGCAGTCTTGTAGGTGTTGACTAGTTTGTCTCTGTTCCACCCTTCAGTAGACTGTTAGTGCCATGAGGAAGACCCTGGGTGTGCCAGCCTTGTGCACACAGTCTGAGCATCTAATAGACACAGAAAGAAGTGGGACAGGGAGGATGGTATATGGGCATTCTCTGTATTATCTTTGCAACTTTTCTGAAATCCCAAAACTATTCCAAAATAAAAAGTTCATTTAAATGAAAAATGTAAAAAGAAAGAAGGAAAAGAGGTGGGAAGGAAGAAAAGGAGAGGTAAGGGAAGAAGGAATGGAAGGAGGGAAGAGAGAAAAAAGGGGAAAGGACAATTGACAAAATCAGTATCTCTTGAATGTGAATTATAAGCCAGAAACTCGCATATGTGGATCTTCCTTACTTAATACTTATCATTATAGCGCAGTGAGGTGAGTGATTATTAAACTTACTTTACAAATAAAAAAAAAGTAGCCAAAAAAAGCTTCAGCAACATTGGCAACGTTGGTTAGTTAATAAACAGCAGAGTCAGGAATTAAACTTGGTTATTCTTGCTTCCAAGGTCCTGCTCTTTCTATGCCATACCCCCTTCCCCTTCCTCCTACCCTTGTACATCTAATTATCCTCAAGTTCAAGGAGATAGGAATAGGTGCTGTGTGGGGAGAAATATGTTTCATGGTCAAATAATCTTAGAAAATTCTGGGTTAATTTAATTTGAAAACTTTCTTAATCCAAAACTTCTCAGGGCCTTTAACATGCTAATATTAAAGGGTGGGGTAATTATGTATACTGTTCCCCAAACTTCTTTGTCTATGGAACTCTTTGAAGAATCTATTGAATGAACACCTAATAAATGCTGGTGTTTCTGGGGAAAACAGTTTGGGCATCTCTAAAGGTTATTTTTATTTTGCCAGCATACTCCTGAGAGTCCTTCAAGGGCAAAGTAATAAAATCTTAATAATAGAATTTCAGGTACTCTACCAGATGTTGGAGATATTTTGGACAATCATCCTTTTTCAAACCATACCATATAAGTTAAAGCTTGTTTCTTGTATTCAAAAGATATCCTGGTTTCTGAACATTCTGAATAACATTTAAACAAATATCTGACTATGTAATAAACTGAAAGAGTTAAGATTAAAAAACAAACAAACAAACAAAAAACTTCTACATCTTTTTACCACTAAGACTTTTGTTATTTTCCCCTTTGGACCTAATATTTTAAAAATGTTGTCAACCAAATTGTTTTTACTAAATAGCAACAAGTTGATTTTAATAACTCCCAACTATAGTGTATATCCATGACTGTTTATCCTGCCTTTCTCCTTCTTCTTCCTCCTGGTAATAGTACTTCCAAGCTGTCTTTACAAAAACTGTCCCTCTCCCCTTTTCTTAACTATTTGATGTGAATGGTTCTTTTAGTCAGGGTTCTCTAGAGAAACAGAACCAAGAGAATGAATAGATAGAAAGATAGATAGATAGGAGCTGGCTCACATGATGGTAGAGGCTGGCAAGTCCAAAACTTTAGCATTGGCCAACAGGCTGGAGACCCATGAAAAAGTTACAGTTCAAGTCCAAAGGCAGTCTGTTGGCATAATTCTCACTCTCTCAGCGGAAGTCAGTCTTTTTTTTTTTTTTTAAGTCTTCAACTAATTGGATAAGGACTGTTGACATTATAGAAGGCAAATGTTTTACTCAGAGTTTAAAGATGTAAATGTTAATCCCATCCAAAACACAGCTTTACAGAAACATCTAAGATAGTGTTTGACTAAATAGCTGAGTGCCATGGGCTAGCTAATTTGATACATAAAATTAACCATCACAGTGGCATTGGTACCAATCCCAGGGCTTGGGTATACACGTAGGTGGAGGGAGGTAGTAGGTGGGAAATATGACTTGGCTTAAGTCAGTCAGCACATCGCATTCAGTTGGAGTAGATTTTGGGACCGTTACTGGAAACACTGGGACACAAACCCTTTATTTTTCACTGGATTTGAAGTAGAAATATGTGAGATGTGAAACTGATGTGGTTGGTTGTGAAGGGAGCTTGTGGTCCTGCCAGAGCTGAAAACAGTCAGCTTATGCTGAGAGGAAACCACACTGAGAGGAAACCATGCTGAAAGATCAAGGTTGGTAGAGTCATCCAAGTTCTGGGTGCATTTGGTTCTGAAATTGAACTCTGGACACCCCCCCC